ACGGGGTCACTGTTGTGGGGTATGGTAGCAAAGGGGGTAAGGATCATTGGTTGGTTAAGAATTCGTGGGGTGTGACCTGGGGTGAGGGCGGGTATATCATGATGGTTAGAAATAAAGGTAATCAGTGCAGTATAGCCAGTTTGGCCAGTTACCCAACTGGGGTTCAGTGATTATTTAATAAAAATGTTAATTGCTTAATAGTTATAATTATAAATATTTATAATACATTAAACAATTTCTAACTGAGATTTTTAAATCTACTTTTAATCTAAATATAATAATTGTATTATTAATATAAAGTAACTTTGTTATTTCTATAAGATATTATTGACTTTGTTTATGTTATATAACAAACTTAAATAATTATTTTAGAAATATGATAAAGTTTAAATATTTCATTTAATAAATATAAATATTTTGTCTTTAAATCTAAATTGAATTTATCATTTTATGTAAAATTAAAATTAATTAATTAAATTAGTTTTCAAATTATTGAAAATCTATTTTAAAAGTTAAATGAGTAATAAAAATCAATATATTAAATAATTGTGATACATTGACATTAACTGATAAAACTATCAATAAATAAACTTTGTCTGAATGAAAATTCTTTTGTCTAAAAAACACACTCTCTGTGGGATATATTGATAACAAAATAGTTGTGCATTTTGTATTACAAGCATATTACACTATTATCATGGTTAGTCAACAAAACAATATCAAAATCACAAGATTATTACCAATTATCAGTTTATTAGGCACTCGTTAGGAATATATTTATCTATTTCTAGTGGCCATCCATTCCAGTGAACTCTACAGGTTATCAACACTTATGACAAAACATTTAAAAATTATTGTTTAAAAATTTATACAACCAAATAATTTTATAAATTATAAATTTTAATTTTATACAGACTATATTTGTTAGTAATATGTTAACTATAAATGGTTTAAATTACTAACTAGAAATTAGATACATTATTATAGTAAGTTAAATAGTGTATAATATAATATACTGTATTATGATACTATCTATAACCATGATCAATTGCATTTCTAATCAATATAACCAAGGTACGACTGTATTTTTAACGATTTTCACCAAAAAATCTTTGCCCCCAAAAACTATTTTCTTTGTTTCTTTGTTTATGTTTCAAATCATAAGACGTGTCACAAAAATATGACATAAGATTAGAGGCACTTATTATCACAAAATCAAATACACTTTAAAACTGTATATAAACCAAACACACATTTTACATTTTCATCGAGTAACAAATATTAAATATTTTACTACTCTATGATATTTTATAATTATTATAACCAAGTAAAAACTTATAATAACTGAAAACTATGAAAGTATTAGCGATTTTAGGACTGGTATGCGTTGCGACGGCTATTCATATACCGCAGAAAGAGATTGATATCGAGTTTGAAAATTTTAAGGTATTATAATAATTTCATTTTACTTTACTCTGGTATATTTTCTGACTATAAGTACTCTAACGGTAATATTATTTATAATGTCTTTAAGGTCTCTCAAAATTTTAAATAGTCTTAAAACTTATTATAAATAACGAAATAATGATTTGACTTTAACTACACTTTTATGAACAGTTACTTACAATTACTAAATCTTATTTGTAGACCAAATTCAGCCGCAAATACGAGGGCTCGGGCGAGGAGTCGGCCCGTCGGGCCATATTTGAGGAGAACTACAACCGTATAAAAGGGCATAACTTTGAGGCCGAGTCCGGGGAACAGACATTCAAACTGGCGGTCAATCAGTTCGCGGACTTCACGAACACAGAATTCAAGCATAGAGTCAATGGATTCCGGCATAAAAAACAGGCAAATGTTTCCGTGTATACAGGAACTGGTGATGAACTCCCGGATACTGTGGACTGGCGTACCAAAGGTGTAGTGACTCCCGTTAAAAATCAGGAACAGGTATGTCAACATACTATTCACAATTAGGCATATTTACTAATTATATCAATGACATACCAGTGCGGTTCGTGTTGGGCATTCTCAGCCGTGGCTAGTATTGAAGGTAAATAACTGTCCCCTAACCCTATCTATACATTGACCTAACCTTTGTTGTCTATTTACAGGTCAACACGCGTTGACCACCAAAAAGCTGGTCTCCCTCTCGGAGCAAAATCTGGTCGACTGTTCCCAAGCGGAGGGCAACGAGGGCTGTGAGGGCGGCCTAATGGACGACGCCTTCGAGTATGTCATCAAAAACCACGGCATCGACACCGAGAGCTCCTACCCCTACAAAGCGATCGACGAGAAGTGTGTATTCAAAAAGCAAGCTATCGGTGCGACTCTCACCGGCTTTAAGGACATCCAGTCGGGCAGTGAGTCGGCCCTACAATCGGCGGTGGCAACTGTGGGCCCCATATCGGTAGCCATCGACGCCTCCAGCTTCACGTTTCAGTTCTACAGCTCCGGCGTCTATAACGACAAGACTTGCGGTAATAAACAGGAAGATCTGGATCATGGGGTGACAGCAGTGGGGTATGGCGTACAGGACGGGAAGGACTACTGGCTCGTGAAGAACTCATGGGACGTGTCGTGGGGTATAGAGGGCTATATACTTATNAATTATATAATACTGCAAAAATTATTTGTACTTTAAAACTGTTTATTTAACACATAATCACAAAATCAATATCTTATACAATAAAACAAATCCAACAAAAATCGAAATCAATTATTGAACACCGGTAGGGAAACTACTATCGGTGGCTATACCGCACTGGTTATCCTTGTTTCTGGACATAAGTATATAGCCCTCTATACCCCACGACACGTCCCATGAGTTCTTCACGAGCCAGTAGTCCTTCCCGTCCTGTACGCCATACCCCACTGCTGTCACCCCATGATCCAGATCTTCCTGTTTATTACCGCAAGTCTTGTCGTTATAGACGCCGGAGCTGTAGAACTGAAACGTGAAGCTGGAGGCGTCGATGGCTACCGATATGGGGCCCACAGTTGCCACCGCCGATTGTAGGGCCGACTCACTGCCCGACTGGATGTCCTTAAAGCCGGTGAGAGTCGCACCGATAGCTTGCTTTTTGAATACACACTTCTCGTCGATCGCTTTGTAGGGGTAGGAGCTCTCGGTGTCGATGCCGTGGTTTTTGATGACATACTCGAAGGCGTCGTCCATTAGGCCGCCCTCACAGCCCTCGTTGCCCTCCGCTTGGGAACAGTCGACCAGATTTTGCTCCGAGAGGGAGACCAGCTTTTTGGTGGTCAACGCGTGTTGACCTGTAAATAGACAACAAAGGTTAGGTCAATGTATAGATAGGGTTAGGGGACAGTTATTTACCTTCAATACTAGCCACGGCTGAGAATGCCCAACACGAACCGCACTGGTATGTCATTGATATAATTAGTAAATATGCCTAATTGTGAATAGTATGTTGACATACCTGTTCCTGATTTTTAACGGGAGTCACTACACCTTTGGTACGCCAGTCCACAGTATCCGGGAGTTCATCACCAGTTCCTGTATACACGGAAACATTTGCCTGTTTTTTATGCCGGAATCCATTGACTCTATGCTTGAATTCTGTGTTCGTGAAGTCCGCGAACTGATTGACCGCCAGTTTGAATGTCTGTTCCCCGGACTCGGCCTCAAAGTTATGCCCTTTTATACGGTTGTAGTTCTCCTCAAATATGGCCCGACGGGCCGACTCCTCGCCCGAGCCCTCGTATTTGCGGCTGAATTTGGTCTACAAATAAGATTTAGTAATTGTAAGTAACTGTTCATAAAAGTGTAGTTAAAGTCAAATCATTATTTCGTTATTTATAATAAGTTTTAAGACTATTTAAAATTTTGAGAGACCTTAAAGACATTATAAATAATATTACCGTTAGAGTACTTATAGTCAGAAAATATACCAGAGTAAAGTAAAATGAAATTATTATAATACCTTAAAATTTTCAAACTCGATATCAATCTCTTTCTGCGGTATATGAATAGCCGTCGCAACGCATACCAGTCCTAAAATCGCTAATACTTTCATAGTTTTCAGTTATTATAAGTTTTTACTTGGTTATAATAATTATAAAATATCATAGAGTAGTAAAATATTTAATATTTGTTACTCGATGAAAATGTAAAATGTGTGTTTGGTTTATATACAGTTTTAAAGTGTATTTGATTTTGTGATAATAAGTGCCTCTAATCTTATG